CGAGCTACAGAGCCCACTTGTCGCAGGGCACGGATAGATGATTCAGAATTAATAATTGGATTAGAGTCACCAAAGGCGTCATATAGGATTTGTTTGAAGTTTTTATAATCGTTTAAAATTTCCAATTCTTTATCAGTGTCGATATCTTTGATAAATGGTTCAATGTATGAAAGGGCATTTCCTGCTAAACAACCAATGGTGTAGAGAACCTTCTTGTTGTCCGAAGCAAAACGTACGTCGTCGGCAGCAAATACAACTGAGAGTTGAGAAAAAAATGAATTTATGTACGACGTTTGACCAGTGAAAGGTACGGGAGGTTTGATACGGATGGAATTTGTTTGTTGGGTTACGGATTTATGTTGATAATTTTCGGCTATATATGCATGGATCTCTGCACCTAGATCGGCTACATGTTGTTGACAGTTGCTGATAATAGTTGCAGTGTTGGATTCAATGGCATGGAGTCGTCGAGCAAGATTGTTAATTATGTCATTTGCGGACATGTTTTGGGTTTCTAATTTTGGTAATTCAGTTTCTTCAATAATGGAGACCCGATGTAGGAGTTGCTTGAGTGTTTCGATTTGCTCTTCGGTCAATTCAGGCATAGTGGCAAATCTTTATTGGAGACGAGGTTAAACAAGAAACAGGGAACAGGGAACACGGCAAAGAAACGAGGTAAAAGGTAAAGAGGACCAAGTAGTTAGGTTTTTGATTCTGGATAATGTCAGAAACAGAACAAGAACAGAAAGAAGACTACTTGGTGACACGAGAGTCAGAGTGAAAATGATAAATAAAGAAGTTTATTTCAGAGAAGGGGGAGGGGTTAGGACTAAGATCCAGAATAACGTTTTTCTAATAAATAACTAGCATCTATTTATACTATTTCTTATACATGGGAAAAGCTACGATGGGTTTAAATTATAGATTAACAAGGGACTTTACGGAACAGATATCATGAGCAGATTATTTGACAAGGATGAGTAATTGAGATTCGACGAGTAATAGCAGGCTGGATTTAGTTGACATTGAATAATTAGATGGTTCGGGGAATATCTCTGATTTGACACGGGCGGGAAAACTGGATTGGGATATGAAGTAATAGATGATCGGAAAAAGGTTTACTAAGGTTGAGTCAGACAAGAGGCGGGAAATATATTGGAATACAGATTGGTGGTAGGTTTTACAAGGAATTCAGAAAGCGGGCAAGATATACAGATATGATTTTGGGTACAAGGTTTTACAGGGAGTTTGGTAGCGGACAAGGTATACTGATATTAGATTTTAGGACAAGGTTTCACAAGGGTTTAAAATCAAGGCATGATCTAGGACATGATGAAATGAGTTCATGACAGAAGGCATTACCATTGAAACTTGTGTTCAAATCGCCGAAAAAAAGAGAACTTTATTAAAAAAATCATTGAATTATTTAGGTAAAGCAACTGACAGCATCAATGAGCTGTTAATCTAAAGAAATACTCTAATTAAAAAAAAAATAACTATAATATCAAAAATTAAATAAATAAAAAAAAAAACCCTCATTTAGAAAACAAGAATGTCCTCACTCATTTTTTTCTCCCTCTCTCTTTCGTTGTTATGGAAAGAAGTTTTAGGTATAATATAAGGCAAACAAAAGGAGTCTAAACTGCACTTTGTTAATAAAATGATTGATATCAACCATGACCCGAAATCCGTCAAAAATCAACCTAAATGGTTTATTTAAAAAGCTGGGATAATAAATGGCACTATTCAGATGCCTGATAAAAAATCTTTAGTTTAGGCTTCACCTAATTTTAAAAATTATCTTGCAATTGATACCAAGTAGTATTCCCTCTTTTCGTTGCTGTCTGTTGTCTTTTGTATTTATCTTTTTACAACACCTTATAGAAGCTCATTGAAAAACGATTTAGCTTTTTTACATCTAAAAGCACTATATTTTTTTCTCGTCCTTCAATGTATACTACTGGATTTGTATCTCCTTTAAAATCACTCTCAAAGTTTTTCTTTTTCTTTTATAAACAATAATCAACTTATGCTGATTAATTAAAGTCTGGTACTCACTGTCACATTTGTTATTTAATAACAACCGTCGCTTTTCTACATCTAAATCCGTACTAGCGCTATGTCACTACCACAAAGAAAAAATTTAACGCAGGGAAAAACAGCATCCTTTCCAAGCCTATGGTTACAAGCTATAACGACGAAGAAACATCTAAGCGGTGACATAAGTGTATCTTTAGTAGACATTGCTGTAAAATCTGGCGACAGACAAAAGAGATCAATCGCTTTTTAAAGGGCATTGGCAATGGTTGACGGGTAGTTCAGCCAATACTTCCTAAATCAGGTAGTGCAATCTGTACACATATTGATCATACTAGAGTTTGATGGTCTCTTCCTTTATCATTAGGATTTGAATTTAGATCACCGTCACTGTAATATCCGATGTCTAAGAGACAATAATTTCAATCAAACATAAGATCATCCTTTATTAAATGCTTAATTTGCTCTTGTATATATATTATATGTTCATGCTTGTTAAGTCGGTGATTCGTATTTGTTGTATCGGTGATTCTTATATGTCCCCCACTATGGACCAAGGTATGGCATTTATCACCAAAATATGCATAAATTCACCAATTTTTTTTTTTTTGCGAACCAATGATGTCTCGTAATAGATCTCTATTCACTTTTATATTTTGGTGGAAAAAAAGAAGTACCAAAAAAGACATAATTTTATTTATAAACTCTTATGGAATACTATCCTCAATGCACACGAACTTTTAAAACTAAAGTTTTTTTGAATTTCGGAAGAGTTACAGCCATTTGAATTTTTTTTTTCATCTTCAGGAATTGGTGATTGATATGCATACCAGCGTTTTTCCACCAATTTTCAGGAAAGGGGTATATATAAACCGACCAATGTTAAGGAACTTCTTTTTTCCTTTTTTTACATATTGTTAGTTATTGCCGAAACGCAGCCAAAAAAATCGCCTTTTTTGTACCAATTTGTAACCATCCTCTACCTTTTATGGGAATATTCACGATAAATTCAAAAAAAAATCAGAAAATTTTTTAAAGAAAATCAAAATGTTCAAACACTATCATAAATAATAACGTTTTTTGTTCATGAGAATTACTTCTTCTTTTTGCATATTCGTTCAATATATCAATAACTACCTTCTGTAAAAATTTGTAACGAAACAACGTACCAGAAGTATTTTATTTTTATTTTTTTATGAATTATTTTAATTATTTTTAATTATTTTTTATTTTTCACATATTAGGGAATATGTACTACAGTACCTTTCTTTATTTGTATTTATTCAAATAAAATCAGTCATTGGTCAACTTTTTTTTTCTCTATGTATTACTAAAAAACGGGGAGCAAAAAAAAATTATCTCGTTCATTGTATCTGATGTATTAAGAGACAATAATTTTTTTTCCTGATTCAAATATTCTACAAATATCAAAACTTGATTTTAAGTGCTTTTTTCCTTGCTCGTGCTTTAATTATTTAAAAATTGAAGGCGAATAACTTTTAAAACTTTGCGCTCAACCCTCAGACCCCAATCATTGGAGTATTTAATAGATGTCTCAACGTAAAACATTTAACTGTGTTAAATAGATTCCAATCAAGAAATTATATTCAATTCAATCTGTCTGCTGAAAAATTATCGATTTGGTGATCGAAAGTTATTTTTTATTGTACTGCCGTCTGTAATTTAAATTCAAGTTTGTCCGTATCATCAGTAATAATCAAGCTAACATTCATTTCCTCCTTAATTGTTTTTCAGCTAGAATACATTCATAGGGTATCTTTGGCGTTTTCCTATTGCTACAATTAAAGAGGTATTAATTTTATTCTGAAAGTTTATTTCCTTAAATATTATGGCGTGGTACACTTATGGTCCGGGTTATTCTCTACTTCACTTCGTAACATAAAATTACCTGATTATTTTTTTATGGCCAATAGGGATTTTAGAAACTCACTGCTTGTTGTACAAACTTTTTTTATTATCGCTTATAAATTAAGATGTGCCTGAAAAATAGCTTGTGTCTGTGACAATTTTTATGTATCTCTTGGGGTTTTTCACTTGACAGTTGTTAATACCTATTCTTTATGTGCCTAGGTGAAATGATAAAGTAGCAATTGTGATTTTGTTTTTTAAATTTTACATGATACTCCGTCGCTTAGTTCTTCAGATCCATTTTTATCGATATCATCCAAACGGTTCAACAGTCCCAATACCATGGAATATACAACTTAAAAAATAGAAGACATTATAACTTCAGTCTTGTCTTCTTGACTAGCAGGCTTTCCATATTTTTATTGAAAAAGAAGTACGCATTTGGATCCACTGCCTGTTTAGCTTTTTTTATATTAAACGTACTGATAATGTTTAAGCTGTGTCAAAATGTTAATTTTTATAGCTTGAAATAACAAATTACAGCTGTGGTACCAATTGCAATCAAAATACAAATTTAAAAAAGGCAAGCTTATAACTAGCAATATACTTTTAATGCTAGCAATACATCATGGTTATGATACAAAAATTGCTTGTAATGAATCTTACCAACTCTTATCAACTCTTATCAACATTTTCTTGGTTAAATTATGATCTTTTTTCAGAAGATGTTCCTTTTTTAAACCCACACCCCCTAGACGCTTGATAATTCATGCTCCCGAGCAAAAAAAAAAAAAGATGGTGAACATGTAGCAATGCTAGAGATGCTAAATCGGTTTGCCGAAACAAATATAGTTATTATGATTAATAGCAGAAGTATGCTGATTATTGTCACTTGGCTAATTACTGTCTATAATCTTATCAATGTAATACTTATATATATATATATTCAAAGGTATGTTATATATACAAGTTTTATTTTTGAATCAGGCATAAGCCATTAGTTTTTTTTTTTTTTTTTTTTTTTTTTTGCGTTACAAAATTAGATAATGTTTATGTGGCGCATAATTTTGTTGTAAGTATAACATCATAGTTTGTCAATCCATTTTTTTTGGAATAGAAGAAAAGAAAGTATGTATTGTTCCTTGGTTTTCATTATGAGCCGACTTTGATGGACGCCCTCTTCCCCTTCTTGGTTTTTCTGGTAAGTCAACTTGCTCAGCTGAAATAGCTTTTTTAGGTCTTCCTCTTCCTCGCATTTCGACAGCATTTCGAACTATGGTTCTTTCATCATTAATTGTTTCAGTTGACTTTATTCGTTTTCCCTATTGATAAGAATGTAAGTATCGATAATTGCTTTAGACTGTTGTATTCTACAAACTTACAACGTCTTCTTGGCTGTTCGGATCAAAAGATCTACTCATTCGTTTTCTGGAATTTGACCCTCCGCTTTCTTGACTGTACACAGAAACTGAAGTAACTATTTATAAAGATAATTTGGTAACTGACAATTTGAATAACCAGCATTTTATTCAGGTAAATGTAAAGGGGAATCTTACTAGCACTTTCAGCATCTGAATTTATACTGTTTTCGTTTTCATTCTGGTGATTATCCGATGTCATAGATATATCAGACATTATCGATGGCTCTCTACGTCAAAATAACATATGATTGTCAAATCTTACTGAAGGAGTTAAATATATTGAATGATACATCATACCTAAAGTCACTGTTTCCTAAGGTTTCCATATTTACTCTGAAATCCATCTTTTGTTTCCCCTTGCTGTTTTCTTTGGAAATCGTATTGTCGTCATCCAATGTCATTCCCCTAAAACTTTGCATACAAGGCGAGTCCGAAAAACTATCCTGTTGTTGCAGCCAATAATAATGTGGCTTGTTGTTACACAGGATAGGATCTTTCCTATAAATACGCTCCCTTTTTTTCAATTCTTAATAAATATTCTTTAGTTTTGTCTTTACCTAAATTTGGGATTTATCTTGTAATTGATACTAGTAGTATTTCCTCCGCTTTTTGTTGCTGTTTGTTGTCTATTGTAAATTATACAATCACATCATCTTCTTACATAAACCCGTCGTAAACTCTTTTATCTTTGACATCTAAGAACTATATTCTCTTCTCATCTCTCACTGTATTATTATCGATTTGCATTTTATTGTCTTATCCATATATTTTATCGTCTAAGATCACTACAGAAATACTCTCAATAAATAATAAAACTAAGTTGACAACTAAAAGTCTGGTGCTCACTATCACAATTGTTATATAATAATAATTGTCCCTTTTTAAATCTAAATCCGTACTAGCGCTATATCATTTTGGTGCTCACTAACAGGGGTCTCTCTCTTTAAATATCTGTAAACCTTAAAAAAACCTTAATTCGAACAATCATGAACTCCGTTTCTGATAACACTGTGTTGGCGTATCAACATCATGCTTCCCCCACTCATTCTAATAACCCTCGTAATCGCTTAATTGAATTTTTTGGTGATGAAGGAGAGGATTATCGTCATTTTGAAAAAAGACTTGAATCTTACTTTGCTTTGTCGGACATTACTGCTGACAAGAGAAAGATCGTTATTTTACAAACCCAATTACAACACGGTGCTCGTGTTTTCTTTGACAACTTGATCGAAGATGATTCTTCCTTATCTACCAGTACTTATTCTTCCTTGGCTGCTGCTTTGCGTGAAGAATACATTACCCCTCAGCTCATTCGTCGTTACCAACTTGCATTCAATAGCATGGGACAAGGTACCGAAGAACACCCTCGTGTCTATCTTGGTCGTTTGAAAGAAGCTGCCAAACTTGCTGAGATTAAAGATGCTGTTCAAATCGAAATGCGTTTCCAAACTGGTCTTTTGCCTTCTATCATTATCCAATGTAAATTAATGGGTGCTGAAACTTTTGGTGAATACTTGAAAAGTGCTGATGGTTACTGGAACGCCTATCATCAAAAGACAATTTCTATTGTTGATAATCCTTTTGCTGTTCGTACTCCTGTTCGTCCTTTGGAAGTTATGCAACCTAATGCTGCTGCTATCGTTCCTGTGTCACCTGTCGTAGTTGAATCTCCTTCCATTCGTAACCTTACCAATAGTATGAGCGGATTGCATTTGAACAATCTCGAAAGTAATCCTGTTACCGCCTCTTCCGATGTAATGAAAATTGAAGATGATAAAATTAAATCTTTGATTGAAGAAGGAATCAAACGCCACTTTGCTGCCGCCACTGCTAAGCCTCCTGCCACTTACAATAATTACAATAACAATGATCGCCGTAATAATTCCCGTTATAACAACAATGACAATTACCGCAACAATGACAATTATCGTAACAATGAGAACTATCGCAATGATAATTACCGTAATAATGATAATTATCGTAATAATTCGGACAACTATCGTAATAATCAAGACAATTATCGTCAAAGTGGTTACCAAAATCAACGTCAACAATCTGATGCGCCTCGTCAGGATGGTCCTAGTAATGATGCTCGAAGAAATTCAAGACCGCCTTTTCCTTCCAATGATTATCGTAATAATCAACAACAAGGTTCTTCAAAAAACTAAATGGGTCGATTGCAGTTAACACTGATGGTCAATCGAACATCCCATATCAACAAAAATCCATCAACAACAATCAATCATTACAAGTAATGCTTGATCATGATTCATCTCAACATGACCATCAACCAACCTCCTACCAGTATTCCTATGAATCCCATCCATCCAGAGAAGAAGACTTGTATGCTGCTTTACGTACCAAAGATAGTAAACCTGAAGCCCATGTAACCCACAAAGACAGAGGTATTCATAAGAAAGGTGCACTTCTGAAGAAACCTTCGAAGTCCAATTTAGTTAAAACCTTTGGTAATCCAAACCACATGCAAAAGATTGTTTCCTTTGCTCCTCCTGCACCTGCACCTGCTCCTGTTCCCACTTCTTATCCTTCTCAAGATATTACCATGGTTGAGTCCGCTGTACCACAGGCTCCGGTATTGACAAAGGCCTTTGTTCCTAGTGAGAAGAAGAAGACTAAGAGAAAGAGGGTAAAACCTCAGATCTCGTATGATATCAAAGAAGTTCTTGAACAACCCGCCAATATCAAGATTAAGGAATTAATCGCGATTAACCCTGCCATTCGAAGAGATTTACTTCATGCTTGTCGTAATGCTGCTATTTCTATGGATCCCAAGTACAATGTGGAACAACACTTGAGTTATAGAGAAAGTGTTGAGGAAGAACGAAATTCGACGGCGGTGTACACTCGGTTCGTAATTGATAAAATTGAAATGAAAACTCTTATCGATTGTGGAGCGTCCAAAACTTGTGTGTCAAAAGCCTTAATGGAATCGTTAGGTTACAAGATTGATGGTCCTTCGGCTAGTGTGTTCACTCTTGGGAATGGATTGAAACAAGCATCGATGGGTGTTATTTATGATGTACCAATCCTGGCTTATGGCGTTGTGGTCCCTTCTACTGTAGAAGTTTTGCCGTATAGTCCTGTTCCTTTGGTAATCGGTACTAACTGGATGCTTCGAGCCAATGCTATTATTAATTTTCCCAAACGAATTATGACTGTCAATTATAAGCAACAACATACTGAAGTTCCGATACAATGTGTGTTGAAACAAGACCAAGTTCAACCAATACCCACCAAGCCTTCTACCATTATCTCTGAAAGTTCTGAAAGTGAAAGCTATGAGGATAGTTCGAGTAGTTCGGATGAATCCGGGAGTAGTGAATCTGATGAGGATTTCATGCTTATTACCGAGGACAGTGTAAGTGAAGAGTTGTATATGTTAAAGGATGATATCAACTCGGGGAGTGTGGTAATTTTAACAGTTGGCAATGATGAGTTTCGAATTTCTACTTCAAACAGCAAGTGTCTCTTACCGGCCAAAACTCAAAGAACTTTCTTTGTTGATAAACCCGTAGAGACAACTCCTGATTTAATTTACGATTTCCAATCACAACATTCCCAATTTGAGAGTAGTTTAGATAGATACAATGATAAGTATCTTATTAAGTTTTTTGTCTTGGACAATCAATTCCAAATTACGATCATAAATAATTCAGGAATAAGCATTGAAGTACCTGCGAATGAAATGCTTGGGTGTATCAATTGGTATGATCCTGCTGTGGATTCGGCTGTTGGATACGATATGCTCAACATGTTGACTCAAGAAGGTCAAGACCTCGCTCATCCCTATACTGAAGTACCTACGTCGTCAAAACCCCTTATTACTCTAGAACAAATTAAGGATAAGATCGAAGTTGGCGATATCAATGCTCAATTGAAGGAACGTTTTTTCTCCTTGGTGCAAGAATTCCAGGATATCTTTGATTGGGATAAAAACACCATTGGCCGTACCACTCTCATGAAACATCGTATTATTACTGAAGATGTCATGCCTATTCGCCATCGACCGTATCGTTTGAGTCCTGAAGAAAGTGACTATTTGGAGAAGGAGCTGAAGAGGTTCTGTGACTTAGGAATCATCCGACCTTCATACAGTCCTTGGGCTGCTCCTGTCATGCTGGTCAAGAAAGCTAAGAAGATTGTAGAGGACGGTCAAGTACAACCCCCTCAAGAGTACCGGTTGGTGATTGATTACCGAAAGCTGAATGCAGTCAGTAAGCTTGACGCGTATAGTTTGCCTCGGGTCGACGATTTGTTGGACCAACTCGGTAAATCGAAAATCTTTAGTGCTTTGGATATGACCTCGGGTTTCCACCAAATTCCAATGGAGGAGGACAGCATCGAAAAGACTGCGTTTGCTACAAAGTTTGGTAGTTTTGAATACGTGACGCTGCCAATGGGTCTCTGCAATAGCCCTTCGTCTTTTCAACGTCTAGTGGATATCGCTTTTAGGCCACTAATTAACAAGTTTCTGGTGTGTTACATTGACGATCTTAATATCTACAGTAATACGTATGATGATCATGTAGATCATATTAGGCGGGTCTTTGAATGTTGTCGTGTTGCCAAGCTCACATTTAATCCAAGCAAGTGCAAATTCTTCAAGACGTCACTCAAATTCTTGGGTTATATTGTCACCTCTGAAGGGTTGAAGACCGATCCTGCAAAATTGGAGAAGATTGCAAGCCTCCCTCTCCCAAAAACTATAACGGATGTTCGTAGCTTCATTGGGATTTGCTCTTATTACCGTAGGTTTGTACCTAACTTCGCGGCGATTGCTAGGCCCTTGCATGAACAGACCAAGAAGGACAACAAGAAGCCATGGTCTGAAGAAACTACTTTGGCGTTTGAAACCTTGAAGAAGGCCCTAATCTCTGCTCCGGTACTAATGAGACCAGACTTCTCAAGAGAGTTTGTTTTGGTGACCGATGCCAGTATCAAAGGTCTTTCGTGTATTCTGACACAACTCGATGATGAGGGTCGTGAACATCCCATAGCGTATCTTAGTCGTGCCGTCAATAAAGAAGAAGCAAACTATGGTATCTCTAAATTGGAATGTCTAGCTGTAATCTTTGGTGTGAAAACATGCAGGCCTTATTTGCTTGGCCGACATTTCACGATCATTACGGATCATTCCGCCATCAAAGGTCTCCTTAACACGAAGAATCCCTCTGGTATCTTGATACGATGGATTAACCTACTTGGCGAATATCAATACACTGTCAAGTACCGTCCTGGAAGAGTGAACGAATCAGCCGATTTCTTGTCACGTCTTGGTTATTGATCCTGATATTCTACTATCCGACCAACGCGTATAATGTCGTTAAACTTTAAACCCAAGACCAATAAGCATTATGTCTCAAAACTATTTTTTCTTCAACCACTTTCAGATAAATTGTTGTAAAACTTTACATTGACAAGACCAATAAGCATTATGTCTCAAAACTATTTTTTCTTCAACCACTTTCAGATAAATTGTTGTAAAACTTTACATTGACAAGACCAATAAGCATTATGTCTATAAACTATTTTTTCTTCAACCAATTGTAAATAAATTGTTGTAAAACTTAATTTTTCATCATGACCAATATAACTGAAGTCAATAAAAGCTTCTGTTACCTTTCAATTTTTAGAATCCATCAAAATAAAGACCGCCTCAAACAAGATTCCCTCGAAGTCTAAATGGTGCACTATAGTTAAAGAAATTCAATCTATGTTAAATATCTCCAGAACGATGAACAAGATTTTGAGGCGGACATATTTATTCCATCATTGCAAGCTGCTATCTTATCGAATGGGTCGAAACCGAATCTCTACGTGTACAAGTTCAAGTGAAATAGCCTTGTTTATCTATAACCGTATTATCACTCCCCATGGATACTCTCAATTTATTATCTCGAACAATAGACTGGTGTCAAGAAAGCAATTAAATGTTCATATCAAAGTTATACCATTCAAGCATACCTATAGGATCGAAACCTATCCTTCTTCTATTATCAATATCCTCAACAGTCAAAAGGCAAAAGTCGAATATACAAGATGGTGACCAACCGAGTCTCCTTGATATTCCTTTTAATCTAAACGTTAAATACGAAGAATTAAAATGTTTAATGACTATTCAATCACACAACTGCAAGCAATCTGGTTAGAAACCTTCAAGCCATTCACCTTTACAAGAAATATTAAAGAATAGACTTTACTATTCCCGAAATTTGACCAATCCGTTCAAATCACAAGTTTCGCCATTTATATCAAAACCAAGTTCTCTGCGAAAATCCTTCAAATTTTGGATCCATCTTTTCTCCGTAACGAGCATAAACTATCTTTTCTCCGTAACGAGCATAAACTATCTTTTCTCCGTAACGAGCATAAACTATCTTTTCTCCGTAACGAGCATAAACTACCCTTTCTCCGTAAACGAGCATAAACTATCCATGCTCCGTAACGAGTTCAAAACTACTGATCTCCTTTATACTCTCTGCTCAATTTTTTTGCTTTTCTGGATTTTTCCATCCTTCTCTTACCTCTTCTTTAGTTTGGTCCTGTTCTGGTGCACTGGTCATATTATCCAAAACTGCATTCATATTTCTTTTGACGGTAAGGTTTACCTTACTCTAATCGGGGGGATATGTTGCAGCCAATAATAATGTGGCTTGTTGTTACACAGGATAGGATCTTTCCTATAAATACGCTCCCTTTTTTTCAATTCTTAATAAATATTCTTTAGTTTTGTCTTTACCTAAATTTGGGATTTATCTTGTAATTGATACTAGTAGTATTTCCTCCGCTTTTTGTTGCTGTTTGTTGTCTATTGTAAATTATACAATCACATCATCTTCTTACATAAACCCGTCGTAAACTCTTTTATCTTTGACATCTAAGAACTATATTCTCTTCTCATCTCTCACTGTATTATTATCGATTTGCATTTTATTGTCTTATCCATATATTTTATCGTCTAAGATCACTACAGAAATACTCTCAATAAATAATAAAACTAAGTTGACAACTAAAAGTCTGGTGCTCACTATCACAATTGTTATATAATAATAATTGTCCCTTTTTAAATCTAAATCCGTACTAGCGCTATATCACTGTCTAACCAAAACTTTGAAATGTACGGATGAATAATTATGTAAACAGTTTTCTCATTAAAAATGAGGTGCTTTATTTATAATTTTTTAATACTTACAGTTGAATGCTCTTGAAGATTCGGCCTCAGTGAAATTAGATGCTATTCTATTAACAGTATTCTTGGGTGCTTTCTCTACGGTTTTAGCGGGTGTTATTTCAGAGGTTCGGTTTGACGCTGTTATTGTTTGATTGGAGCAATCACTATCGTCTAAATGTTTTTTGATGAAGGTTAAAAATAAAAATATACGTATTAACACAGGGCTCAAGTTTTTGTAAATATATGTGGATATGTATTATTATTGGTCACCTCCAGAATCTTCACCGTAATTGTGATCAGAAGCTTCTTCAAGTTCAGAATCCAGTTCGATAATGTCCCTGTTATTTTTTTGTATGTGATCTGCTAATAGTCCCTTCTCATTATTTAATTCAGTCATCACATTTTCTACAAAAATTTCATCTTCTGTCAATGGCTTTTCAATGGGTCCTTTTAAATTTGTCGACTGCAAAGAAGCAGCAGTGGATTCCGAAAATCTTCGTGCATTGTCATAGTTATAATTTTCTGGGAAAAATGGTTCATTTTCATCATCATCTTCATCGAAATTCTGGTTATTTGTCCTGCTTTTTGTATTGCTGTTGGTTGTATTTTCTTCAATTTCGTCTTCGTCATCATGAACTTTGCCTGATCTTCTCTGATCCCTTTCAAGAATTTCTAATTCAAAATCATCTGATAAAATGCAACATTAGAAGTTTAATTAAATTTTGTGCAGACACTATTTTAACTAAATTTTACCAAGCTCTTCATCCACTGTATTAGAAGCGTAAAATTCAGGGCCATTCGTAAAATCTTGATTGAGTGACAGATTTACATAAAAATATCCTTCTCTAACACCTTTGGTAATTTGTACGGGGCCTATGTCTGGATGAACCATATCTTTCAAAGTCTCTGTAACCAATGGAATACATGGCATTATTCTTAGTACAATAACTGCCAAATGAAATTTCTCTTCTACAGCCCTTCCTAAAAACCCAGAAACCGTTGGTTGCTGGTCCATGTTGCCAGTTGCAACCATGAGAATGGGATCCTTTTTTTCCTTTAAATATTTGATATCCCATGAAGAATTATAAGCTTTGAAAGAGTCCTCTATTACATTTTTTGGTCCGATCACCTTTACACTGTAACGTCTTTTTAGATACGTAAGCGGAAAAAAACTTGGTCAGTTTTAAACCAAGTTTATAATGTTTAATTAAACACCCAAAGTTTTATACATTACCCAAAGTATGCTTCATAAAGCAAAAAATAAACGTTCCCCTTCTCTTCATCCACTCGCAATGTATGGGGAAACAGGAGCCCTACAAACGTGGAAACAATGGATTGCATATTTTAAAAATTATATTGTAGCTGTTTTTTCCTTTGTCAATACATGTGTGTTATATAATACGTAAAGGTCTATGGTCAATTGCATTGTATTACATGCGTGTTTATTGTGTAAGGTTTTTATTGAGCTTCCGTACACGTGCGTTTAGAATTAAATTTTTATTGTCATCACCAGATACTTCCAACATCTTTCATGATGCCGGATACAAACAATTTAATTCTGTAAGTCCACAACTTTGTCATCATCACATGTTTTTTTTTTTTTGAAAATCCAATTTTTCAAAAATGACTGCTAACTATTTGCATAAAATAATAGTATGATAGATTGATAATGATATCAGGTTTTTTATTGTCATAATAGAAATGAGTTTAGGGTCCATAAATAAAATGTCAGGCAACTTTTTTTTTCTTCGACACCACCTCTGCTGTACGTATAGAAAGTTTTCACCATTCTGTGTTATTCCGCTTTCATTAGAATTATATATAAACCAATACCGAAGTCGATTTTTTTTGGCAACATAATTGTGCTATAACAGTGACACGGTACTGTTGTAATATATATGTGTAGCACATGCATTGAATGCATTTGTGTAATGTTTATTGTATTATAGGCTATTTGAGACTTTGTGATACCTTATTTTTAATAAAAAAAACCCAACATGCTCGGACCATGCAATATATGCAATTTGGTCCTTATTGGTTTTAAACTAAATCCTGCAAACTTTAGAAGACATATTTCTGTATTATTAAACAAAATAGAGAAGAGAAAATTTTATATTCTGAACTACTGTTTGACAGAATATATTGTACCTGACACATAGGACACCAACGTACGCATATGTGTTTGACTGATTGACAATATCATCTGATGCGATTCCCGTGGTTTTATCAATTCTTAATCTATTATACATAATTCATGAGTTACATCATCGATTCTCGTGAATTTTGTATTTTATTTGCGATAATTTCGATTAATGGAATAACTTTCCATATTTATAAAATGCTTACGGGTATATAAGCAAGTATACTTAAGAAAAATTGAACCATATTATTTTTATAACTAAATTACAAATTTACAACATGCTTCTTGGAGAACTCACCGATTGCACTATTACCAGTGCTCCCACATTTCGAGTAACAGCTCGAAACGTTATGTTAGAGGCCAAAGCCATTGACTCTGGCATGAGAGTCAAGCTTTATGTGTCGAATCCTGCGATGATTTACTATTTCATCCGGTACTGTGATGTAGGAAGCCGCCACCACCTGACAGGTAAATATTCTAAATGTTTCTATTATCCTAACAAATCTAACACTTCTATATAGGCCCATTGAACGTGACAGCGTACACGTTTGATGATAGCACAAGGGCTTTTTCAAGTATTCGTTTGAGTGTCGATAGTGCCCGACCTCTTCCCACCTTGGATGATGATGGAAACATCATCGGCACAACAGCCACAAAAATTCGAGTCCGTGATTTGGAGAAAAATCACAAGTTCCTGAAGCTCAAGTACATTTTGTACAAGTACGTTTTTGAGAACATTTACAACGAGGACATGGTGATGGGCAAGGGGTTGAATGTTGAAGCATTCGCCACTCAGTTAAATACCTCTTATGAGAAGCTTGGTGAGTTTTTTTTTTTTGATTATATACAAGTTATTATGTAGCTAATTTTGCCACTTCATTTTATGATAGTATCTGAAGGGTTGATAATGTCCAATTACAACCCGGTTACTGTTGTGGAGTCGGTGACACGTCCAACAACTGACCCCAACACTAACCGCCCTGTTCCTCGTGTGATCAAGAGTACGTATTCGTACAATGAGAGTGTTCGTCGTTTGGAGGATTGGGCCAACCCAAACCTCTCTCTCAGAAATCTGCTAAATGATCACATGCCGTTCTCTGTTGAGATCTTTGTCGTCCCCGCCAGCTCCCGAACTATCGATGATGAAGAAGAAATGGAGAACTAGTTTTTTTTGTCTCCTTGGTAGTTTTGCTTCTTTTCTTCTTGCTTGTCCCTTTCGTGATTGCGTTTTCTTTTCTTTTGCGTTTGCTTTTTTTTTAAAAAACGTTATTTAATACCTTCTCCCGCTTCCCCCTCTCCCGCTATTCCAATAATAAATATCATTTTTTTATAATGTCGACTTGTTTTTTAAAATGGCATTGTATTTTTTTTGTAATCTCAGGTGACAAAGCCATGCGCTTTTTTTGTTCACTTGGATCACGTTGTCCATTATTTCACAAAGTAAAATCTATTTTTTTTAAAATGGAAACAAAAATGAAATCAAAAAGAATCACATCTGAAAATTATTGTAGCGGTGCTATTGAATTAAAAATATAGTTAAAGAACGTGTTTAAAAACGAATATAAATACTGTCCCTATAAACACAGGTAATGACTTCAACAATATATTAAACTATCATGTTTTTCTCTTGGAGAATCGAAGACCCAAATTTATCTACCTTTAATGCTTTTCAAAAAAAGCAAATTAATTCATTCCAAGAGTTTACAATGCTCAAGCCCGATGGTTACTGCTGTGTCTGCATGCAAGTTCTTTATCCTGAGGATCAAAAGTTTCGCCGGTTTTCAGACTTATTCAGTTTTCCTTGTTTGAAATGGAAATTGACCCCTTTGTCAAATCCCCAATGATGTAACCAAGAAGATGGTCTGTCTGCAGCATTTCAAGATGGATGAGGAATGCCGTTGTCACATTAACGTATCCTGGTAAGATATAAAACTTTAATAGCAGCTCTAAATATCGACTAATAATTATGATATAGGCGATTTAATCCCTGAAACTAAAGACTTAAACTATAGAGAGAAGTCGGCTTTGTCTCCAATTAAGCTTATGTCGCAAATAACAAGAAAATCCACGCTGCTCCATGGAAGAATTGGTCATTACGAGGTGAAGGGTACCATGTATGCGACGCATAACTATGAATTTGCTGAAATGGCTTATGGTGGAACCTTGGGACTATTTTTTCAACGTGGTGATCCTGCAAACATTAGGAAGACCAAGGTGAAGCAAGCATATCAAGCTCTTCAACGTGTACATCCCTTGTTAGCCCGCTATGATTTGCCAAAATTAACCTACGCCTTGGTAAATTATCATGTTTCCGAGAACAAAAAGCATGTCGGAATTGATAAACGCTGGGTCAACAATGCTTTGTTTTCCATTAACGATGTAAACCCCCAGGCTACCGATGTTGAATTCAAAGAGTTGATTGTAGGTGAAGATGATGTTGGGAAAATGATTAGGTACTCCCACCCTAGTCTCTTGGCCTTGCTTTTTCCACATCTCTATCCAACATGCACCGGTCACTACTCCATGGTACCGACTAATACCTATGAGTTTGACAATCGATTAGGAGCTTATGGTATACCAGAAAATCAAGGCGGTGTTGCAAATGCTACGTGGAATGAAACAAGTATTGCAGCTTATGCGAAGCAGAGGCTTCTTATGAGAGATAGACGTTTTGCCCGAGACCCTTCTTTTTTATTCTTCATGCTCGATCTTATTGAAAAAAAAAATATCGCTGCTGCTAATAGATTCGTGGTTTCAACTAAAGGCAGAGAAAATATAACTCAAAAGGATGTTGTGAATCAAAATACAGGAAAACTCAACAAGAACATTGTCTCTACTGTACCTCCTCAGATTCGGTCATCATATGCATACAAAAGAAAAAACTTTTTGGATCTCCAGTGTATATTTGAAAATCTTGGTGCTCCTCAACTTTTTTTAACATTTACTTGTGATGACAAAAGTGCAGACTTTAAAAACATTCAAGATGAAGATACCAAGTTCCCTTGGGAAGACCCTGTATTATTTTCGCAACACTTCAGGAGAAGATGGTTAAGGTTTTTTAAAATCTATATTCAAGGTCACTTTGCCAGACAAATTGGTGGTATCAAAGATTATAGCTGGGTCATGGAGATTCAAGATCGTGGAAGCCCACACATTCATATGGTTCTTTGGACTGAAAAATCTGCACAAGGAGCTTATCGATATGAATGTGGTTCATACAAGTTTTCCACCTGGCACAAGTATTGACGATCCTCTTTTGCATAGTTTAGTAAATAACCTGCAAATTCACAGATGCAATGACAAGTAAGCTAAAACTCCTTTTTATGCGTTACCGTATTAATTAATTATTTTAAACAAAAGCTATTGTAAAAGAGGTGACCCTACAAAAAAATGCAGATTTGGATATCCTAAGCCTTACGCTCCTTCCACTGAACTTGATACTGAACATCGCTGCATCTACAAAAGAGACGTTGGTGATGCTTACGTGAACAATTACAACCCGTATCTTCTAGCAGTTTTCCGCACCAGCATGGATATTCAGTACAATGATGGACCACAAGCAGTAAGATATTTAGCAAAGTATTTGGCAAAGGATGATTATGAAGCAAAAATCCTTCTGAAAAATATTCAGCAACAAAACCAAGGATACTATAAGAGAACATCTTATGTGTCTGAGAGAGAGCATTATGCGACAAGAATTGTTGGTGCAGTTGAAGCAACATACGATGTCTTGGGATGGAGAAAGCATAGTAATTCTCGTAACGTTATCTTTATTAATACCAGCTTACTCGGTCAAGACAGTAAAAGATTGCGAGATGACATCAAGGATATTGATAGTAGTTCCAATGAAATTTTTGCAAGAACTCATGTTGGTAATGCGCTAAAAGCAATGATGATAAAAAAAAAATGAAATACCGACACTAAACGTTTTGGAAAATAGACATTTATGAAAAGCGTGAAGGTGCGCCTGATTTGACTTTGACAGAATTTTTTAGTTTTTATAAAAGAAACTACAGCAAGAAAATGTATCCACGTATTCAGAATGTGACGCGAAGCTTTTACTCTGGACAGCTGCCTAATTTTGTTTACAGCTCTAGAGATCTATACCAACTGATTATCGAAAAACCTTTTGCGTGGCGTACGTTTAATCAAAGCGAGATGAATGGTGAAAGCTTTTACTATCAGCAGATTGTAACAAAAAAGCCGATCTTTAATACAACTTTCGAAAATGAAAAGGGCCCAATTAGATCATGGAAAGGTAATATCTATATTTTTCATAAACGTATTGTTATTAATAAGACTATCTTAATTTGAAGATTATTATGAGTACTTGATCAATCTTGAAGAGGGTGGTATTGAAGTGCACAGAAGAATGAATATACAATCTGTAAATGATGTAGTAGACGCTGAAAGAGGCATGGATGCTTGTCGCGAAGAGTTGATTGCCATGCTTAAAAGTGCAAACAGAAGCCAAAAGAGTGTTTACAAACAAACAATATATGATCTCAGAAACAATTCCACCGTTTTTGTCTCTGGTGCCGCAGGTACAGGAAAGTCCTATGTATTACGGATGCTGGAAAGACACTACAAGCTGAAGGGATATAAAGTAAGTAAATACTGAATAAACATGATCTGCAAACGTCTAATGTTTTAAAAAGGTTTTTAAACTGGCTCCCACCGGCGTAGCTGCCCACAACATTTCTGGTGAGACGCTGCATCGTTTCTTCGGTATCACAAATCGCTCCTCTGTTCCAAACTTTCTCAAGTTAGACGAATACGTTAAGCTTTACCCAAAATTACTTCTGCTTATTGACGAATATTCAATGGTCAGCTCAAAACTTTTAGAGTCTGTAAGTGAAGCGTTAATTAAAACAACCCAAAGGTCAAGTAGCATGGGTGGAATTAAGACTGTGTTTTTTGGCGACATAGCACAATTGCTCCCCGTGCAAAAAATGGAAGGTCTTATTTGGGAATCTGAAATATATACAACGTCCAACAGATACAACCTTATCGAACCTGTCAGACAAAAAGAAACCGCTTTTGTTGAAATTTTGGAAAAAGTTAGAAATTACAATTTTGATGAAACCGTTATTCAATTTATCAACAAAAGGACCATTCACAAAAATAATCTCCCGCTGTACTGCCTCCGCCTTTATACTACAAGAGAACGAGTGCGCTTAGCAAATGAAAAGGATTACAAAGACTTTCCTGGTGAGGGTAAAGAATTCGCTGCACTTGACTCATATGTTGGCAACAAAAGAACAGCTAAAATTTCGTTAAGAGAAACAAGACTTTTGGAAACGCTTTTACTGAAACAAATCATGCCTGTTATGCTGGTTCATAACTTAAATGTCTCTCAAGGTTGGGTTAATGGCACTATTGCAGCAGTAGAATATATGGAGGAAGAAAACATATGTTTAAGAAAACGCCTGCCAGATGGTAGTGATTCCATATATTGGATCCAAAGAGTCAGCCGACAAGTCCCTAATACTAGTTACACAAGAACACAGTATCCAATCGTTCCCGCTTTTGCCTCCACTATTCACAAATCTCAAAGCGCAACGATCGATTGTGTGGGAATTCACTTGGACAACATGATGTCTCATGGACAACTTTATGTAGCCATGTCAAGAGTGCGAAAATCGGAAGACTTGTATTTTTTTGGTGCTGATATGCCCTTATCTGTAAAAAGAAAATTCGGCGCTGACAATGATGCAGTTGAAATTATCAGAAATCAAAAATCAAAAATCTAAGCAGGTAGTTCTTTATCGACTCATATCAACTCATATCGATCTTTTATATATATATTATCCCAACTTAAATTATTTCTTCATTACATTATATTTATACATATATCTTAACCAAATATTCTAAAATAAAAACCTTATAATTATTCCCCTTGAGACAGCGCCATAAGCTTTATAAATGTCCATCCTCAATAATTGTAAGTATCATGAATGGTAATGGCAAGCCACTGGTAGAGCATAGTCCACATAAAATCCAACTATTAGCTCTTTGATATCCTTACTAAGAATCCCCGATAACATACAGAGTTAGGAGAAATAGCCCAAGGAATGAACAGGTTCAAAGTCCGTAGTACAGTCTCAAAAGATAATCGTCCAAACGCTTTTATTTTTTTTTTTTTTTTTTTTTTTTTTTTTTTTTTTTTTTTTTTTTTTTTTCCACAGAATTGTGTCCGAGGATATTGTCAGAAAATTTATAATAGATATAAGGTGCTCTCAAGGTAAAATTCGAAAAGCCGGTGGACCCCTTTTTTGGGTGTGAACGGATTTTTTTAAATTGAACAAAAAAATAATTTCATCGATCAGGTGATGCC